CCTCCTTAGTTTCTACCATAGCTCTTTTATTCTAATCTTCATCAAATTGGAACTTAGATGGGCACCTGGGTGGCTCAGTCGGTTAAGCATCTGACTCTTGGTTTCAGCTCAGGTTGTGATCTCCGGGTCCTGGGATTGAGCCCTGCCTCGGCTCCACGCTCAGTGTGCGGTCTGCTTGAGATTCTGCTTGCGCTCGCTCTCTCTCTAAAATAAGTAAATAAATAAAATCTCTCCCCCCAAAAAATGGAACTTAGAATGCCATAGGATTTTGTCTCCTGTCACATATACTGGCACTTCTTAGGGTTGGGGATGTTGTTTTAGCTATGTGTCCCTCACACCCTGCACTCAGGAGCAGCTCAGTAAGCCATGCTAGGTGCTTCTTACAGACAGGCTCTCTAATCACCATGGCAACCTAGCACACTAGGCAGTGTTTTCCCCCAAATGAAATCTCAGGTTAAGCAACTTGCCCGAAGTCAGATATGCTTAGTCTCAAAGGCAGAACTCTCCTCACAGTGTCTAAAGTGGGTCTAATGTGTTGTGTGCTAAAAACAAAAACAAAACAAAAAGCAAAACAGAGACCCCACCCTGCTTCATAGAGGCAGCATTACCCGGACCTAATCCCACTTCTCGTGGGACGGAATACTTTCTGGGAGCTCCCTGCCTGAGCAAACACCACGACTCCCCTCCCCCCCACCCCCCCACCCCCACCCCCACCCCACCCCCGCCCCACCGCCTTCTCTGAAGTTCGGTTTCCTCGGCTGTCATGGGGTATGATGTTCATAGCTTCCTTCTTAGGCGGACAGAGATAAGACACACAAAGCAAGCAGCGCTGGGTTACGTCCCCTTCCTTCCTGGGTGCCCTGCCCCAGCTCGGGAGCAGCTCCGAGGTCTCGAGGTCTCGTTGGTGGCCCTGGAGCTGCGGCCGGGGCGGGGCAGGGGGCGGAGCCTGGCCCCTCCTGACCGCCCGCCAGAGTCACACATCTGGCCCCTCAGGGTGGGAGTGGGAAGGGAGCCAGGCTCCCTGGACGCTGAGGAAATGTGTCTGTTGTGGGGCTGTTGGGCAATGCTGAAACTGGGGAGGAAGGAACAGCAACCGCCGCGTCTCCCGGCTGGGGCTGGGTCCCACGCAGCTTGAGCAACGCCCCCGGCAGTTGCTCCATCGGCCAAGCCGGGCGGTGATGCCCCAGGGTGGGGTGTTGCACCACGTTCTTAGAAAGCTGCCTCTGTACATGCAGTGCCATTTGGGGCCTGGACTGGTTTTTTTTTTTTTTCATCACTGTCTTTTTCACTTCCAAATTTCTGAGGGGAAATTGGGAGACAGTGATGTGGTGAAATGATCATTATTAGCCAACTTTCCCCAAGAACTTACTCCGCGCCCTGCAGTGTGCTAAGTGCCTTGGTCTAAGTGATCTCGTGGAACGCACACACCAACCCCCTCAGACAGGTGCTATTCTTCTGCACACGAGCCCGTGAAGAAACTGAGGCCCAGAGTGGTTGAGCAACTTGCCCATGGTCACACAGCGGATAAATGGGGGAGCCAGGATTTGAGCTTACACTGCCCGGTTCCGGGACCCTTAACCACTATTGGCACTGCCTCCCATAAGTGAAAAGAACCTGACTTTGAAGTCAGGCCGCTCTGGAGTCGAATCTCAGCAATGCTGCTGGCTTACTCCATGTCCTCAGCAGGGCCCTTTCTCTTCTCTGGGCCTCAGCTTCCCCATCGGTAGAGAAAGTGGATTAGAATAGATGACTGGGGGGCGCCTGGGTGGCTCAGTCATTAAGCGTCTGCCTTCGGCTCAGGTCATGATCCCAGGGTCCTGGGATCGAGCCCCGCGTCGGGCTCCCTGCTCGGCGGGAGGCCAGCTTCTCCCTCTCCCACTCCCCCTGCTTGTGTTCCCTCTCTCGCTGTGTCTCTGTCAAATAAATAAATAAAATCTTAAAAAAAAAAAAAAAAAGAATAGATGACTGGCTCTCAAATTTTCCTTTAGCTGAATGCTTCAAGCAGGGATCGACTGCAGACAGGCATGAGAGAACCTCACAGGGTGACGGGAACATTCTAAAACTGGATTGTGGTGATGGTTGTACAATATCATAGATTCTCTAAAAAGCCTTGAATTGGACACTTCCAGTGGGTGAATTTTATGGTATGTAAATTATACCTCAATAAAGCTGTAAAAAACTGGAATAGTTTATAAAACCACAATACTCAGTCCCCAGTACCCCACAGGACTGTTCGAAAACGGTAGGCTGTGTGGATTCTGGATGACCTCAGACTCTGACCTTCTGGAATCCTGAGTTCATTTTTAGCACCTGCCTTGTGTGGATTGCTCTGGTGATGTGTGGACAGGGATTCTGTCCTCTACATTGTCAGCCTGGCCCCAGCACAACACCTGGCCCGCCAGAGGTGCCCAACGAGCATTATTCCATGAATGACAGACTGAGGAGTAACTTGTACATTTTCACAACGGTGGGCCAGACTTCAGGCTGCTTGGAGGCAGGAACTGTGTTTTCCTTTCCAAACACCCAATTCCCAGCACAGACCTCATACAAAGTAGGAATTTGGTTGTGGTTTGTTGAATAAATAAATGAGTGAATGAATAAACAACCCAGTCCCTGCTCATGAGACAAACTGAGAAGGCAAGATGTCAATGTATATATACAGTCGTCCCCCCTTATCCACAGTTTCATTCTCCATGATTTCAGTTACCCACGGGTCAAGTGTGCTCCTGAAGCAGATGATGCTCCTTCTGACATATCAACAGATCAGAAGTGGCCTAGCGCTAGGGCACAGGACCTACGTCATTCCCCTGACTTCGTCTCATCACGTGGGCATTTTATCATCTCAAATCATCAAAAGAACAAGGGTGAGTACAGTACAGTAAGGTATTTTGAGAGACACCATCACATAACTTTAATTACAGTATATTGTTATAATTGTTCTATTTTATTATGGTTGTTGTTAATGTCTTACTGTGCCTAATTTATAAATTAAACTTTCTCATAGGTATGTATGTTTAGGAAAAAAAACACAGCATGTGTAGGGCTTCAGGCATCTACTGAGGGTCTTGGAACATATGCCCCATGGATAAGGGGGCTACTGTGTGCACACTGTGTATGACTGAGGATGCGTCAGTTGTAAGTTACAACTGTAACTTTAGGGCGAACGAAATTGACTGGGAAGGTATGGGGATGAGAGCCTGCAGATCACACCGTGCAAAGGATGGGTCAAAAGCAGTTCCATGGGTCTACGCAGCAGAACCGGCTCATCTCTTTAGGAAACCTCTATGGGATGAGGCAATCGGAACCATCTTCAGTCCTTGGGTTATCCCCCTTTGAGATTCAGATCCCAGGAGAAGAGCATCTGATTAGCTTGGCTGGGATCAGATGCCCTCCTTTAGCCAAAAAGAGTTGGGCACTTGTACTGACAGTCTATAAAGACTGTGTTTAGTGAGGGCTGGGGGAGGGGCTCAAAACCAAACCTGGGTTCTGATTCTGGAAGAAGAGGTAAATGCTGGGCAGATCAAAACAACCAATCTCCGGAGCACCTGGCTGGCTCAGTAGGTAGAACGTGTGACTCTTGATCTTGGGGTTGCAGGTTCAAGCCCCATGTTAGGTGTAGAGATTACTTAAAAATAAAAATCTTTAGAAAAAAAATACCCACCCGAAAGTTCTGTAACAGCAAAAGAAGAAAATGAGAGTTGAAAGAATTAATAGAGATGCCACCAAGGCAGGTAAGCACAGAACCAAAACTGTGGGGCTGCCCCTGAAAGCCATGGCGGGCAGGGGTCAGAGAAGCCAGCGGGCAGTGGGCTAAGATGTTAAGGAGAGCTGGGACAACTTATAGTTTCTTCTGTTTTTTTCTTCTACTAAAACTCTTGGCTAAGCTACTCACTACTACTGATAGCCATCTCTTAACAGCAGGGCCATTTCCTGTCTGTTCTGGAAAGCTCAGGAGTCCAGTGGCTTTGACTAAGTGGTCTGAGGAGAACTATTGTGAGCAAGGTGCCTTGACGCCCCCTTGGTGCCTTCCCCGGAGGCATCTGCCGTGTAGCCCTAGCTACAGCCACTAGCTCCGGCTGGCATTTCAGAGGAAATGGGAAAAGAAAGAATGCTCTCCAAACTCCTTCTGGGGCACCTGCTCTCTATCTGTTCTCTGACGTAATGCTTGCAGCTGGTCTGCAAGCTGAGCATGATTAACACCATTTGTCAGTCGATTAACACCATTTGTCAGTCGAAGCGACTGAGATTGATGAAGTGACCTGCCCGGTGACAAGTGGCAGGGTTGGGATTTGAACCTAGGACCAGGGAGCTCCAAAGACCCTGCTTGACTGCTGTACTATGGGCCTCCCCAGTGGTCGGTTCAGCTTAGACACATCATGTAAATTCCCTGGGTTTCCCCATCTGCGAACCAAGAAGCTAAAAGCTAAGTGAGAGGGTCGTGTCCTGCCCTAATTCAGAAGCGTCCCAGACGGCCATGGGTGGGTGCAGCCAGCGAGGTCTGGGCCCACACTGAGTGCCAGCAAGAGATGACTGATTGAAGTGGCTTTCAGCAGAGAAGCGAGCCCATCACAGGCTGGAGGCGAGACCTAAGCATGTGAGTCACCCCCACCTCTCCCTGCCACCAGAGGGGACGGGGACAACCCATGTCTGGTCTCCTTGGCCCCCTACCCCCACCCTCAGGGGTGTCTTAGAACCAAGGCACAGACTCCACCGAGATTAGGAGTACGTGCTCAGACACACACAGACTTTGCAAACAATGCAGGGAAATAAAGTTCTCACAGGAAACATCATACTGACTCACGACAGACCCATCCATAAAACAGACTCCTGGTACCTGGGGCCGGCTCAGAGAGCAGCGGCCTGGGAGATAGCGGGCCCACTCTCTCCTGGACCCCGGAGGAAGTGGGTGCCGCCGGGAGAGGGGGGGTGGGGGAGGGGGAGGGGAGGGGAGGGCAACTTCCCCTGCCTGCTCTGACGCTGGCCTGGGATCTGAATTATTTGTCAGAAAGAGAAAAATGGTTATTTTTTAAAAGAAGCACAAGTCCCAGAGCATTATAGCCTCTTCACCTTGTCACAAGAGCTCTGTTGCAGAAAAACCTCTCTTAATGCCGTGCTATTTTGCAAGTCATTTGCCATGCCAGTGCAGAAAACATTACAGTCTCCAGAGGCCTGTGTCTCCATCGGTCCTTGCTTAGCAAAGCAGGCTTGACTATTGCCAGCGTGGAAAGACATTTTGATCCAAGTCTGTATTCAGATTGGAGAAGGTAGCTTGGTGCATCTTTGAGACATCAGGCGGACAGCTGTTACTTGTGTGGAGCCTCAGTGCTTCATCTGAAAAATGGGAATAGTCATGAGAACAAATGTAAGAAAATTTATGTTTACTACATGGCGCAGTGTTCGTTTTCCTAACCCGCTGTGAGAAGCAGCCTGGAAAAGTGACTTGGGAACCTGAAGACCCTCGTCCAAGTCTTGACCCTACCCTTTCTTAATCCTGGGAGCCTTGGCAAGCCTGGGCCTCGAACGTACCTCGATTTCCAACTCTGGAAAAGCAAAGGCTCTGACCGGTCCTGACCTGACCAACTCCCAGCGTGCGACATAGCCGTGAGGAGAGCTGGGTTGTCAGCCAGGTTTCGGACAATGGATCATGAGGGCTTGAGTACCAAGGAGATGGAGGCTGGAGCGTTTGGGTTGTTCCAGGCCCAGCTGAGCCCTGGCTATTTTCCCATCCTAGAATAAGAATGACACGTGGTGTCCAGGATCTGCCCTGAGGGTGAGGAGGGTAGACAGCCCCCTCTCGTTGTGGAGAATGAGTTGGGTGACCACTGGGAAGGATTCGTACCCTCCTTTAGGCCCTGGCCAACCCTAGCCTCCCCTGGGAGTGCTGCCCGGGACTTCCAATCCCAGGTACACAGCATGGTGTTGGCACATCACACGTCCTCGGGTCACACGGGGGCACTGAGGCCCTGGTGAAATCACACCTAGCCCTGCTCTCGCCATCCATTCCCCCTCATGGCGACCAGGGTGCTCTCTCAAGAACATACTCTGACCAAAACCCTGTGATGGCTGAGGCCCAAGCTCCTTATTTTGGCCCTCAGGGTTCTCTGGGATCTGGCCTCCACGGAGCTCAGAAGCTTCCCTCCTACTATTTCTCTTAGCCACACTATGCTCTAGACTCACTTAAGGACCCACAGTTTCCTGAATCTGTGTGGTTTCACATTTCAGTGCCTTATGCATGCTCTTCTCACTGGTAGGTTGTTCCTTCTGTTATCTTCTAACAAACTTCTATTCATCCTTCAAAGCCCAACTTCAATGTCCTTTTCTGTCAGATAGCCCTAAACCGTCTTCCAAACAGTTTTTCTGTGCCCTGTCCATCTCTCTGTCATAATAGCTATCACGCCGTCCTATCATTTACTTCTTTATAGATCTGTCTCCTGCTTGGGATCACAAGCTCGGTAGGTTAGGAATTGATTTCTGAGTACTTTGTCCCAAACTCTTAAAATTTCCTCACCACATTTGGGAAATGTCTCTCCCCAGCATGGCGATTGCTGTTTAAGGAATCTTGGAGGGCACTCAGATTTACAACCAAATGTCCTTCAAGCGAGCCAGCTGTGCCTGGAAGCTTTAGTAGCTTGTTTTTCTATCAAATAGATGCTGAACAGGTGTGCAGTGCTGGTGTCCTAATGGCAGCTGGTGCATGGCTGCATTTTTAAAAGGTTTTAATGTGTAACTGTTTAATTCTTCCCAGGGAGATATTTTCTAGGCGATAGAGATATTTTGTAAATAATACACTTCCTTTGTGTTGGAGGTAAAGCAGGGAATGAAAAGTCAACCCCCCAGAAGTATAAGCGCTCTAACAGCCCCTAAGTCAGCTCAGAGGATGAGAAATAGGATGCATTTAAGCCCTCAGGAATGAATGCCCAGGGATGTAGATCTGTTAGGCAGTTGTCTGGAGCACTTCCTAGAAATCTTGACCTGTCGCTGTCACTAGGGAAGGCTAATTAAAGGAAATCAAAGACCAGTAGCCAGGAGATTCCAATGTGCTAGAAAAACAAAGGCAGCCAACCAGCAAACTGCTAAGTCAGCTCTCTGCTCTGCCCCTGTCCGGCTGCCGTCCCACCCACCCAAACACTCTTTCTTTTCTGCACCTGATTTTCTACTACCAACACCTATTTTGTCTTTGTTCACCTCAAGGGAGAACATGCCGGGCCAGAGGGCTAACCGGGGCGGTTCAGAACGAGGATGGGGGGATGCAAATTAAAACTATGAGACACCTCTATTCCTCCGTGAGAATGACTAAAACTAAACAGACTGACCTTAGCAAATGTTGGTGAGGATGTGGAGCAACTAGAACTCTCCTACACTTCTTTTTTTTTTTTTTAAGATTTATTTATTTATTTGACAGAGAGAGAAACAGCGAGGGAGGGGACACAAGCAGGGGGAGTGGGAGAGGGAGAAGCAGGCTTCCCACCGAGCAGGGAGCCCCTCGGCGGGAGCCCCATATGAGACTCAATCCCAGAAACCTGGGATCATGACCTGAGCTGAAGGCAGATGCTTAACGACTGAGCCACCCAGGTGCCCCTAGAACTCTCCTACACTTCTAATGGGAATGCAAAAGGATGCGGTACAGCACTTAATATAAGGTTAAATATACACTTTACCATATGAGGCAACCATCCACTCCTAGGTACTTTCTTTTTTTTTAAGATTTTATGTATTTATTGAGAGAGAAAGAAAAAGAGAGAGAGAGCCTATGTGAGCAGGAGGAGGGGCAGAGGGAGAGGGAGAGAGAGAATCTCAAGCAGACTCTGTGCTGAGCATGGAGCCCAACTCGGGGCTCGCCCAATGCAGGACTTGATCTCAGGACCCTGAGGTCACGACCCGAGCCAAAATCAAGAGTTGGTCACTTAAGTGATGGAGCCACCTAGGCTCCCCATAGGTACTTTCAAAAGTGAAATTAAAAGGTATATCTACTCAAACACCTGTACATGAATGTTCAGAGGAGCATTATTCATGTAAGCCAAAAAGTGGAAGCCACTGAATAGTCCATCAACAGGTAAATGGATCAACAAAATGTGGTCTGTCCATATGATAGAATATTATTTGGCCATTAAAAAAAAAAAGAGAGATGAAGTATTGATAGATGTTATAACATGGATCAACCTTGAAAACATAATGCCAAGTGAAAGAAGGGAGTGACAGAAGACCACATATTGTATGATTTCATTTACATGAAACGTCCAGAATAGGCAAATCTGTAGAGACAGAAAGTAGTTAAGTGGCAGCCAGGGGCCAGACGGAGGAAGAAAAGAGGAACGACTACTAATGGGTAGGGCTTTTGTTTTGGGGGTGCTGAAGATGTTCTAAAATTGACTGTGGTGATGGTCGTACAACTCTGCAAATATAGTAGGGGAAAAAAACAATCGCACGCTTTAAAAGGGCAAATTGCATGGTATGAGAATTATATCTCCATAAAGCTGTTCCATGCGCTCATACATACACATGGCGGTGAGGATCGTGACTCAAGCCCAAAACAAGCACTCATGCAGTGGGCGGAGTCCCATAATTAGACCTGCAGATGGGATCCAGCCGTGGGATCTTGTTTGGCCAGCAGCATTGAAAACCTCATTGGATCTCTTTGCCTGTAGGCTGGGCACGTGCTCGCCAGTCCTCGGTTAGGTGCACAGGATTTACCAATTACACAATCTGTGTTGCTTGATGTGTCCATCCCTGCATCAGGTCGGGAGACCCTTGGGTACCCAGGGCAGCAGGGACATGGCCCTGACCTAGACTGAGCTCCTCTAGAAGCCACTGTACCTCACACTTTCACTAGTTTCACATCATGAGATGCCACAATGCTGGCGCATAGGGGTGCTGCATTTATGAACTCAGAGACAGACTGGGACAGGACCCCACTGTCAGTGTGAGATGGGTCTGATGTGCCGTTGCTCCTTCTTTGCACAATAGCAATAGTGGAAAGCATTTATGAAGTGCCTACCATGTGCTGGCACAAGTGTAAATCTTTGGTATGTAACATCCTTAATCCTGACCCTAAAGGGAGCATCCAGTACTAGCCCCCTGTGGAGCCACTGGTGATTGTACATCTTGCTCAAGGCCATCCAGCAATAAGTGGCGGAGTGGGGAGTGGAACCCCAGTGGGTCAGGCCCCAGGCCCACAGGTGGCCTCCTTGAGGTTACAGTGGCAGAGCCGGAAGGGGCCTGAAGTGTTACCTGCTCCTACTGCACCTGCATCCGGAGAAGGCAGAGGGTGGGGAGGACCCAGGGCTTTCCCAAGGGTCAGGCAGCCAGAGCCAGGCTATTCAGCCCCGTGACACTGGGGCCTGCCACACTGGCTGCAGATCAGGGGCACAAAGGTGCAGGGTATTCACCCTGTGACAGGCAGGAAGAAGGGCAGAGAAACACCACAGGCATTTCTGTCCTGAAGAGTTAGATGGGGGAAATTACCAGGCAGATAGGGGGCTTCACATTGATGGAGAGGATGTGAGGGAGGGAGGGAAGGAGGGAGGAAGGAAGGAAGAAAGGAAGAAAGAAAAGTCTTCTCAGCTCAGTAAATTTTGAGAAGATAAATGGTTTTATTTCTTGGTTGGTTGGTTGGTTGGTTGGTTTTCAGGGTCATCAGTAATGGGCAAAGCATAGGTTCAGTTGCCTGGTCGAAGTAATCCCTGAACTTTCTTACTGAAGAAAACCCTGGCAGCCAGGCATTTAGCTCCTGGAGATCCTGCCCTGCCCAATTCTTCTTTGACCTCCCACTGCATCTTCCTCTCTATGCCCATTTAACAGAGATTGAAGATCAAAATCTTGATTTTGAAAGGTTTATCCAGTTAAGCGGTATTGGGCTTGGCTCACTCTTCGTGATGGATACAGTTCATTTTCCTATGTACAACTCACTTTAAATTGTCAGGTAAGAAGCCCCAAATAAGTTCATGTCATTGCCAAGTAGTAAGAGTAAGAGTAGTGGGCATCACTGAGTGCCCACCACCTGCCAGGTACTGAGCAAGGCTCGGTGCACATTATCATCAAACCTCTCCATGGCCTTGCAAGGTAAGCTCTGCTTCCCCCATCTTACAAGTGAGCAACCTGTGGCTTGGGGAGGGCCATGTCCCAAGAGGGGCACATGAGTGCCAGCTCTTGAATTCTCCAATCTCTGAGAGTGGATGCTTTTTCTTTTTATCTCTTCTGGCCTTTGCTGATGCCCGGCGGTAGGGCTTTCTACAACTGGGCCAACCTTCCCTGTCTGACTTGTTAACAAACATGCCAAGTGGACTTATCAACCACTTATGCAGGTGGGTTACATGGGAAGTTCTCATTCATTT